AATTTGAGTCCCAGAGTATTAAGCCAACCTGTACATCAATAGCGGCGTTTCTGTTAAAGAAATTGGTTCAGTTCGAGAAACAAATACTTTTAATTTAGCATATAATCACGTTAGTTTAATCTTATGATTTTTTCTGAGTCGTCGAAAGTTAAAAAAAAAAGTAGTCCGTTCGATTCAATTTTTTCCATTTAAAACTCCGAATAAGTTTGATTTTTATTTCAATTTATTTTGGTAGGTAGTAGATTCAGGTATGACACGTCGGAAGCTAAAAAAAGAAGGTAACTTTTCGAAGTGAAATTAATTTTTGATCGAAAACTCCGAAAAACCCTGGCTTTTATTTTAATTTATTTTGTGAAGTAATCTCGCGTATGAGACGTCAAAAGCTAAAAAAAGACGGAAGTCCGTTCGGAGTGAAATTATTTTATGATCGAAAACTCCGAATAACTTAGGGCTTTATTTTAATATATTTTGAGTCCCAGAGTATTAAACCAAAGTGTACATCTATAGCGGCAGTTCTGCTACTTAAAGTATCATTTTAGTTTGAGAAACAAAAACTTCCAATTTGTTGATTTACTTCCAATCACGATAATTTATTATATTGATTTCTGTTCTGAGTCAACGAATCGAATATTTTGGATGCTAGCTATTTTTGATGAAGATATTTTGAATCATTTTCACCTCATTCTATCCCGTTTTTACTTTATATTACTTGAAAAATCTATTTTGTGCTAGAAAAAAAACTAACTAAAACCAGTTGGTCAAAAAAATTTTCCTTTCATAGTACATGAAAAATCAATTTAGTAGTTAGGAAAAAAATAAACTAAGACCAGTAGGGCAAAATTTTACGTGAAGTTTTGCAAACAAAGTTGACTAATTTGCTTATAGCTTGGTTAAAATGATTTACAAAAATTAAGTGCATTTTTTGGAAATTTGCCCGAACCGCTGAAAATCCAAGTTCATTGATTTGATGTTCGGTCTTAATCTCTTGAAGACAAACTAATATATGTTAGTTTTGATGAAAAACATCACGCGAGTCCTTTTTGGCCATAAATGTGCATATTACAGGCAAACTTTCAAACCCTTAGCTTTTCTGTTATACTGCTAAATGAACATGCATGCCGTTGTGCGTGGCAAAAACTTCAATTTTCGGAATTCAAATTAGAAATATGTCCTTGCAGCTAATCGACTTCAAGGAAAATTTGTATTGACAGTTTTTCGATTAAATTAAACCAATTTGAGAAAACTGAATCAAAAGGTTATTTTTCAATGCAGCTGGCAAATCTTAATATTACAGCCACGCCACGTTCAGAACTAGAAGTCGGTCACGCTTTTGTGGCCTTTAAACTTCTGCTGCTCAAAAGTGGCGTTTGCTTTCTTTTAACAAAGAAAACGAACTGGGTTTAAAAATAAGGTCAAGCCTCAAAAAAATTAAATTGAAAACTTTTCCCAGAAAAAGATACCAAGACCTATATAAGACAACTCACTACGTTCATTAAAAAGATATCAACATAATTTAAGGAAACTGGATCAATAGTTTTTTTACTGGGCTGAAAAAGCTTAAGAAGAAACTCTTTATTTGAAGACAAGGGTCAATCGCATTTTTTCGCGCCATTTGAGTTTTCGTTTCTGGAGAGTGCAAAACCTCAAATTCAATTTTTTAAAAATCATGCCGAATCACCACAAAAAAATTAAATTGGAGCGTCAGCAACTCTTAGGACGTTCCCTAGAAAACACACCCCAAATACATGTCTTCTTTTCGTTCATTGACACGTAAGAAAATAGCCAACTGACAGTTGCAAAAAAAAGAGTAATGAACGCAAGTAAACAAAAACAGACTTTCAAGAAAAAACTTAAGCTTTCGAATTTCTAAAAAAAATAGATGACCCTTAAGCTCTTTGAAATTCTAGGATAAATTATTATTGACACTTTTCTAATAACATTGATCCAACTTGAGAAAACTGGATCAATCGGTAAAATTTTTAGTCCACTGGAAACCTAAAAATTAAAATCCACTGTTGAAACTAAAAATCGTTCACATTTTTTTCGCGCCATTTCCACGTTCGTATTTTTTTCGTATTATTTACGCAAGTGTCACCAGATGATTTCCAATTGAACTCAAAAAGTGCATATATACCTGATTGCAATGATAAATGCGTTAATATGTATGAATGCACATCCCTAGTTATTAGAGCACTTAAAGACTTTTTCCAGAAAAAAAAACAAGGATAGCCGGTTACTGTGCAAGTAGCACCGAATGTTCAGATTTTTTTTTCAAATTTGAAGGTTTTTGAGTTTTTGAAATTTTCGATTCCAAAAAGGCACTAAAATACTCTAAGTATAATAACGTTACTCAACTATAATCAAGTTTTTACGATTTATATTAAGCTATTGTAAGGTTTCACGCAATTAAAATAAGACTACTTGCTCGCTTTATTCGCTCGAAATAAGAAAATCAAAAATTTCCAACCGGTTTTTCTCGACACCGTTAAAAAAAGTGGTTCGAATCACGACTGTAAGGGCTTTAATATGATATATCACTCAAGCCAGCTCGATGATTTTTTGTGGTACCTGGTTTTACCAAGACCTAAATAAGTCTTCACTACGTTTATTACTGTAAAAAATCCTTCAAAAGTTAGTGTGCTCGTAAATTATGCAGTAGGCTTTAGTGTAGTGCGGAGTAAAATTAAGGCAGTGTCCCTTCAATGGCACCGGAGATATTGCGAAGCTTTGGAATGCATGACATGGCGAAGTTATAGACTGCATGACATGGCGGAGTTATAGAACGCATGACATGGCGGAGTTATAGAATGCATGACATGGCGGAGTTATAGAATGCATGACATGGCGGAATTATAGAAAGCATGACATGGCGGAGTTATAGAATGCATGACATGGCGGAGTTTTAGAATGCATGACATGGCGGAGTTACAGAATGCATGAAATACCGGAGTTAAAGAATACATGACTTGGCGGAGTTATAGAATGCAAGAAAAGGCGGAGTTATTAGAATGCATGACGTGGCGGAGTTATAGAATGCATGACATGGCGGAGTTATAGAATACATAACATGGCGGAGTTATAGAATGCATGACATGGCGGAGTTATAGAATGCATGACATGGCGGAGTTATAGAATGCATGACATGGCGGAGTTATAGAATGCATGACATGGCGGAGTTATAGAATGCATGACATGGCGGAGTTATAGAATGCATGACATGGCGGAGTTATAGAATGCATGACATGGCGGAGTTATAGAATTAATGACATGGCGGAGTTATAGAATGCATGACATGGCGGAGTTATAGAATGCATGACATGGCGGAGTTATAGAATGCATGACATGGCGGAGTTATAGAATGCATGACATGGCGGAGTTATAGAATGCATGACATGGCGGAGTTATAGAATGCATGACATGGCGGAGTTATAGAATTAATGACATGGCGGAGTTATAGAATGCATGACATGGCGGAGTTATAGAATTCATGACATGGCGGAGCTATAGAGATCATGACATGGCGGAGTTATAGAATTCATGACATGGCGAAGTTATAGAATGCATGACATTTCAAAGTATTATTTAGACAGCATCGTTTAGAGATCATTAAGTTGCAACTAAACTGACTACTTCGTTCAGCTCTTTGTTCATATTCACGAGATTATTTGTCTGGGCATTTAATTAGTTTGTGTTGACTTGCAGAGCTTTAGTCAATCAGCTTATAAACTTAAGTTTCATTTTTTTCTTAAAAGCTTTTAAATTATTCTGTCAGCTCACAATAGAAGAGAAACAAATAAAAGTTTAATTTACAAATCTACATCAACACCCCGTGTAACGAAGTACATTAAATATCAATTAGTATAATGGGCATAAGGAATCAACAGGCCAGAACCACAGAACACCTTCAAAATGCGAACTCACTTATTTTGTATTAGCATAAACGCCAGAGCAAAATATAGATCTATATAGCATTTTTTGAACGCAGCATACATTTTTAAGCAAAAAAAACCACAACATGGAACCGCAAGGATCTTAATATCTCGCTACACATAAAACAAACCTCTTCGCAAACCTTTTGAGACTTACCTGCGCATGGTTTCGGCATCTTTACAAAGCATGTTTATTCAACTATAAAGCAAACATGAAAAACCGCATCTTCACATAAAAACCGTGTAAGCGGTCATACTTTATTACACTAGATGACCTCAAGCATGTTGTGGTTAGGTTGGCGTCGTCATAGAGAAGAACTTAGAAAACATGTGTATTATTTTAAAACATGCGAAAAATCAAAGTTATTTTTATTTTCAGTTAGGTAATGATATGGTACAATCTCATTTTTGATCTTAGATAGATATAAGCAATATGCTATGAGATTGATTTCGAAATCAAAGTGAGCTTTTATCATCACTCTGTTAATGATATGGTACAAACCTTTGATTTTTAGCAGTTTGAAAAAGTCTCAGCATATTGTTTATATCTAACGATAAGATAAGCCGTTCTGCTCTATCAAAAGGGAGTTGAACATTTTGCAAACGGCTTCGAAATTTAATGGTTTTAGCATATATAAGTTTAGTGCGTCTTCTCTAAAATGACTGACTCGTTATGGTGGAAAACATAGCCAACAGACTGTTGGAAAAGTGTCAATGAACTGTCAATGTTGAAAAGGGAAATTAAAAAAAACTTTCAACTTTCGCGCTTCGAAGAAAAAATTTGTCACCTTAAAGCTTTTTAAATTTCCAGTGTATAAACTATCCAAAACTGGGTCAGTCGAGAATTATTTATTCCCCTAGAAATTCTGATTATTAAAATTCATTTTTGAAATCATTAACGGATCTTTTCTCGCCATTTTACCTTAATTATTCGCGAGCGTAATTTGCCTTCGTTCTACCAAATGAATTCGAACTCAATTTGACTTAAAACTTTAGCGTGTAAAGTTAAAAAAAAATTGAGCGTGAAAACTTTTCTGAAAAATAAAACGAAAAAAAAAAAATAATACGATCCATAAAAAGTCTTCACTACCTTCATTGACATTTGAATATACTGCAATGAGTTGATAATGATAATCATAGGGTGACTGTTCATTCTTTTCGCCTAATTGCCCAGGTTGCTTAGTATCTGTAGTAGTTGGGTTTGAAGGGTCCAGTTTTGGCTATTCCCAGGTAGCTAGACTGTTCGTCTGTCAGCTCCGTCAAGTGGGCGTCGAAAGCACTGAGGTGCAGACTGGCAACGTACTCGTCCAGCTTCTTGGGTAGAAGGTAGACGTCGCACTTGTAGCGTCCAGACGGCGCGTTGAAAAGCTCAATCAAAGCCAGTGCCTAGAAAAATTCAAATTCAATAAACGTTTTGCTCATTCTCTGCGCCTGATATCAAATCCCCGCTCGCCTTTTCTGAACGAATTTTTTCTGCCACAATTTGGCCGAAGCAGGTGTTTTTAATCATTTTGAGACTCAAAGACAAAGCGGATAATTGATACGAAGCGCAGCTGAATTTCGCGCCACTTGCGATACAACACAGCACAGCAAAAATAGCCTACAGTTAACAATTCACAATTTGCCTCGATTCAACTGCTTTTGAGAAAAACATGCCAAGTAAACAGCGCAACAAAGCAGACAACACCTGAGCTGACACCACTTGAGCCGAAAAAACCCCATCCTATCAACACCCGCATACGATACTTTGTTTTGCGCATCAAACGACGCAATATAAGGCCACAACACTGACTAATTAGAAGCCCAATTAAAAATAAACAAAATGATATTATAAGAAAACCGAGTAGGCAAATTTACAACCAACAAAAAACGAACATTAAACATAACCAACAGACAGTCGGAAAAAAGTCAATAAACACAACAAAACAGAAAAAAAAATTGACCTAATTTTTGACATAAAACTTAAATTCGTGATTTTCGAAGTAAAAATATACCAGGCCTTAAAGCTCTTATAAATTTCAAGAAAAATTTATGATTGACACCTTTTTGATAAAATCAGCCCTATTCGAGAAATCTGGATCAATAAGTTTTTTTTTCTACTGGCAAATCTGAAAATTCAATTCGACTTTCGAAACGTGATCTTTAGACTTTTGCTGTTCGATAGTAAAGTTTGCCCTTGAAAAAAGGAAATGATATGAATTCGAAAAGACAAAAAAAAACACCAAGATCTATAAAAGAGTATGCACTACGTTCATGACACTTCTGTAGTTATTATAGCATTTACTAAAAACAAACAAAAAAAAAACCACCAAGACCTTTATAAAAGCATTCACTAAGTTGCTGTCTCTTAATAAATTTACAACAAAACGTTGAAAAATCGACATCAACAAAAATTCAAGTTCGCCTCGGCTGAAGTTCAATTTAAGGACAAAAACAAAGAAAAAATCACCGAAGTTAAAAAGCATTCAGTATCATTTATCGATCGGCCAATTAGACGACAACACTGGGGTTCACGTCCCTATGCGCCTTTTGGTTGACGAAAGTACAGATTTGAGAAAAATTATTCGGTCATTCTGTTAGACAAATTTACATTAAAAAAACTGTTCTTACTTGAAAAGTAGACCCCTCGCGCAAAAAGTCTAGAACTGCGCTGCAAATTTCACCTGCCATAAAATCTTCTGCAGAAAATTTACTTCGACTCTCAATTAAGTAATTAGCGATGAACGAATTAAAACCCTTTACTTCAATAAAAACCAGCGAATAACAAATTAAAGCCAATTGCTATTGTCATCCTGTTTAAACTTTTTTACTATTGGTAGAAGGAAAGGAAAGCATTACCAAGGAGGACGAACGCAAAAGGGCAATGTGATGTTGAAGAGTACCTGCGTGGTGGCTGTGATGGAGATGACGAATGAGGGAAGACTGGAGCAGGAGAGGTTGAGCAGTCTGCCCTCTGCTAACACTATGATCCTCTTCCCGTCTGGCCAGATCACGTGGTCCACCTGGGAGCGCACCTTCTCCCATGTCAACTCTGGAGTGCGTAGACTGCACACGTCTATCTCTGTTGTAGTGTGACCCATATTACACACTATGCAGCCATTCTTCAGCTTGTCTAGGTGTTCACGCGTCACCACATTCTTATTACCTAAGCAAAATTTGAATTACAAGTGCTTCTGACATACAAGTACAACGGACGAGCATATAATATCGACTACCTCTAAAATTGACACGAGGATACAATTAGAGATACCTGAAAAACCTGTTATGAACGATAAATGTCCTCAATGGCATTACATTAAACGAAAGTAGCCATCAATTAAATTAATCAGAGAGAAAACAAAATACAGCAACTCTAATCGACACAAGTTTATAACTCTGACATAGGAAAAAAGTCCATTTTCAGAAAAAATCGTACCTGTACATGTTACCAGGAGATCGATAGACTTAATGACTTCACTTAGTTTGACCACTTTGAATCCATCCATGCACGCCTGCAGAGCACAAATGGGATCCACTTCAGTAATGAACACCACCGAACCCAACGCCTTCAGTGCCTGAGACACTCCTTTGCCCACTTCCCCATAGCCACACACTACCACCTGCTTGCCTCCAAACATGATATCTGTAGTTCTTTTCAGACTGTCAATTATACTTTCTCTCGCACAGTACAAATTATCGAATTTGGCCTTGGTCACTGAATCGTTCACGTTGATAGCTGGAATGTTCAGTTTGTCTGCCTTGCTGAGCTGGTACAGCCTGTGAACTCCCGTCACACTCTCCTCCACAATGCCTGTGAGTTTGTCAAATATCTGGGGGTACTTCTTCAACATCAAATGTGATGCATCTCCTCCGTCGTCTAATATACAATTCGGGGTCCATTCGGAGGACACGTTATTAGCACCTTCTTTCGGGTTGATACACTTGTCAATGCACCACCAGAAGTCGTCTTCTGTTTCGCCTTTCCAGGCAAACACGGATATATTGTTTTCGGCAACTGCTGCAGCGATTTCGTTTTGAGTTGAGAACACGTTACATGCGCACCATCTAACTGTTGCGCCGAGGGTCACAATTGTCTCAATTAGCACCGCATTTTGGGCTGTCACATGGGTACATGCCAGCACCCTCGCTCTTTTCAGAGGCTTCTCTCCTTGAGCTCTCTTTTTCAGGGCTACCATTCCTTTAACCACACGCATGGGAAATCAAAACAGAAGCAAGCAATGAATGTTATCATCTTCATGCTTTTTAAAATTGATTTTGAGACAAAACATGGCCAGACACTTGAGCCGAAAAAAAACTTTCAAAAAATCTTGCAAGAGCTTAAGAACACTCAAACGAAGCCACCACTCCACAATTCTCCCAACAAAAAGTGAAACAACGATCTATAGCCATTTAAACAAAAAAACAATAAATTTTCGAAAAGCTAAAGTCATTTGTGACTGTGTTTATTTAGTGAAGTTATTGGGAGCATTGCAAGGGTTTTTTCGAAAGTTGTTGTCAAAGGTATTGCAAACACTGTAATATATTTAACGATCGAACTTCTAGCTAATTTTGTTTGTACACATCGTTCGTAAACAACATAACTTTTGTTCAATTTTTTAATTTAATATAGAGCCCTGGAATTTTTTGTCGACCTTTTTTTTAGGTCGGCCAAACTAATTTTTCAAGCTCTGCCAAAGCACTAGAAATTCCCTGTTTTGGCCAAAATTTCTGCGCCGCAGGCATAATTTTGAATAAACAGGCTGAAAAAGTCAGTTTTAGGCACTTTTTGAAAAATTTTGAAAAAAAAATGCGTTTTTCGGCGCGCGCTCCCCCCTCAATATTAGTATATATTGGCGGCTAAAGCGCCTTTAGAAAAATTTTAGGGTCCGTTACCAAAAACCGTTGTAAATAGTGACTTTTAGTGACCATTGAAAAAATAGTGACCAATAGTGACTGGTCACTAACATAGTGACCAAGTGGTTACCCTGCTAGCTACCATTAAGCCAGATACAAAGATGTAATGCTAATGCAGCAAAAATAAAACCAAATAATAGGCAAATGCAACAAAAAGTAAAGAAGTAGTAGAAGACATGACTTAATGAAATTTAGTCTAAGGGTGTTAACCCGTCAGTTTTCAACTGGCGCCATTTTTTCACTGGGTTACAAGAACCATATAAGCACAAAACTATCCACGTACATTCTCCTGCATAGTATAATTTTTTCACAAAAATTCTTTGTACAGCTTTGTTTAACGTTTTTTCGAGAATTCAGTTCCATTTGTGTACTTCTTTATAATTTTTATTTGTCTCATCGTGCGTGTCCAGACTTTTTCATCTGACTTTTTGAGACAATTTTTTAAAAATTCAAATTCGCCCTAGTGTCGCGTGTCTATTTGCTTGAGTCTAGGTTTGTCAACGAGGGTGTCGATGTATTTCTCATTGCGTATTGAGCCAAGAAACAGTATATCATGCAGTACCAAGTACATGGATATCGGAAGTATATCTAACTGTAATAGCCGTTGTTTGTAGTCATTGCTTTTCAGCATATCCAGGAGGTTGTTTTCCGCTGAATTTTTTGAAAGAGTTTTTGATCCATTTTGAATTGGTACCACGCCCGGGAGGCATACAAAACAGGTACTACAAATACATTATATGCATTGATTTGTGTGTGTTCGCATTTGTTTGCGTGTTGGCATTTTTTTTTGTGTGTATTGGCAGAAATTAGAATGACCTTCAAACTGACTGATTCTTCGCGTACAATTTTGAGTTGAGTCCACGAGAGATTCCCTGAGATGCTAATGCCCAGACTTTTTGGGATGCTAATGCCCAGACTCGGTTGCTATCAATTTCGAGTTTCATTTTAATAAGCTTCTGGTGGATTTCCTTTGGGGCATATCATTTTGCTTTTAGCCATGTCGAGAGACTTATGGTTCTCCTGACTCCAAGTTTTGATTTGTTTTAAAAGAAGTTGGGCTCACATTTTTTTGTTCATTATCTTTTTGAAGTCATCGGCATATCCTTTCAAGAGAAATTGTCTACTGCCTTTGGCAAGTCGTTGACATAGACGACGGACATGAGCGGTCCCAGTACAGATTCTTGAGGGACTCCACTTGTAACAGTCGCAAGGAATGATTTGGTGTTGAACAAAACTTGGTCAAATATTTTGAAAATGTTCGCGAGATTTTTCGGTTGATACTGGCTGATGTCTGCCTTGTTATTCTCCTTGCATATCGGTGTGACTTCACGTTGTTTCCAATTTTTCGGAAAAGCACCCTTGCTAAGCAGGTTTGGAAGATACGAAGAAGTGATTTTGACAGTTCGAGCGTATTTATCAGAATAATGTTACCAAGGTTGTCTGGAACAAATGCTTTCTTGACCTCTATCTAGGCTGATAAAAGCTTCTTTTTTTAGTTCAGTTTATTGTTTTAGAAGTGAGTTTTCACATTCTAAGTTCGTGGTAATTTGACATTCCACGTTCTAAACATTTAAGAATCGATAGAACAGTTAACTTTTTCAAAATTATCAGCTGTGTTTATCCGCTCGATTTGGTCGTTACTTTTACTTTCGAAGAACACATACATTCAGCTTCATTTGTGTACATCTTTATAATTTTTACTTGTCTCGTCGTGCGTGTCCAGACATTTTCATCTGACTTTTTGAGAAAATTTTTTGAAATTCAAATTCGCCCTAGTGGCGCGTGTCTATTTGCTTGAGTCTAGGTTTGTCAACGAGGGTGTCGGTGTATTTCTCATTGCGTAGTGAGCCAAGAAACAGTATATCATGCAGTACCAAGTACATGGATATCGGAAGTACATCTAACTGTAATAGCCGTTGTTTGTAGTCATTGCTTTTCAGCATATCCAGGAGGTTGTTTCGCTGAATTTTTTGAAAGAGTTTTTGATCCATTTTGAATTGGTACCAAGCCCGGGAGGCATACAAAACAGGTACTACAAATACATTATATGCATTGAGTTGTGTGTTCGCATTTGTTTGCGTGCTGACATTTTTTTTGTGTGTGTATTGGCAGAAATTAGAATGACCTTCAAGCTTAGCTGATTCTTCGCGTACAATTTTGAGTTGAGTCGACGAGAGATTCCCTGAGATGCTAATGCCCAGACCTTTTGGGATGCTAATGCCCAGACTCGGTTGCTATCAATTTCGAGTTTCATTTTAATAAGCTTCTGGTGGATTTCCTTTGGGGCATATCATTTTGCTTTTAGCCATGTCGAGAGACTTATGGTTCTCCTGACTCAAAGTTTTGATTTGTTTTAAAAGAAGTTGGGCTCACATTTTTTTGTTCATTATCTTTTTGAAGTCATCGGCATATCCTTTCAAGAGAAATTGTCTACTGCCTTTGGCAAGTCGTTGACATAGACGAGGGACATGAGCGGTCCCAGTACAGATTCTTGAGGGACTCCACTTGCAACAGTCGCAAGGAATGATTTGGTGTCTTGTACCTTTAGACACAAAGCTTCACGTTCACACACAGAGTTTCCGAGGAGTTGAAATAGTTTGCCGCCAGTAACGATGATCGTTTTTTTTTGCGATGAGTTTGTGTTGGGCCACTTTGCCAAAAGCTTTCTTGAAGTCGGCGTAGAGAACGAACAAATCTTTAGTGTCGACAATTTCAGATTTTCGATACACTTCCTGCAAGTAGATTAGAAAATGGAGAACTGCGGAACATTTTTGTTGAAAACCAAATTCTCTGTTGTCAAGTTGACTTTCAATCAGAGGATACAGATGGTTGAACAAAACTTGGTCAAATATTTTGAAAACGTTCGCGAGAAGATTTCTCGGTTGATACTGGCCGATGTCTGCCTTGTTATTCTCCTTGCATATCGGTGTGACTTCACGTTGTTTCCAATTTTTCGGAAAAGCACCCTTGCTAAGCAGGTTTGGAAGATACGAAGAAATGATTTTGACAGTTCGAGCGCATTTTTCAGTATAATGTTACCAAGGTTGTCTGGAACAAATGCTTTCTTGACGTCTATCTAGGCTGATAAGAGCATCTTTTTTATTAGTTCAGTTTAATGTTTTAGAAGTGAGTTTTCACATTCTAGGTTCGTGGTAATTTGTTCTTCCACGTTATAAACATTGAAGAATCGATTGAACAGTTCCACTTTTTCAAAATTATCAGCTGCGTTTATTCGCTCGATTTGGTCGTTATTTTTACTTTCGAGGAATACATACATTCTGGCAGTGGTTTTGATTTGTGTAGTGATTTAAGGCATTATTTTAAGTCTGACATTCTTCTGTTACGAAAAATTTTCTCTTCCAAACTTGCTTGATCCATTTCTATCTCTTCTTGGAGAATGTTCTCTTTACACTTGATGTTAATATGGAGTGATAGACTCGACTTTATTTCGTGTTTACTTTTTAGAGTCACAAGTCTTTCCATTTGATGAAGAGGTGTTGGATGTCACCCATTGTGGTATTGATGAGCCGTGTTTCGTTATTTTGAATGACTGTAATTCAACTATCTTCACATTGGTGTACCAGTATGGTTGGAAATCAATAATGATAATGTAATCATTCATCACTATACTGTCAGTTTTGTTGCAAGCACAGTTTCTGTGTTTGGACCATGACTACTTGTTTTAACACTTATTGTGTATGGGTTGATCTTCATGACTCTTCGCTGTTATTTTCATCTCTTGTTCTATTTTTTTTGGCCAAATTATGTGTACTAGTTTCTTCTTGATTGCGTGCATATTCGTAGAGCACTTTGTCTTTTTGCTTATTCTTTTGAATTTTGCCACATTTTATGGATTTTTTCGAGAATGAACAACTTAGAGTCACTTGAACTAGTTAGTAGTATAGACATAAATTAGCCACTGCGCTTAGCGTGGAAACCTGGCCAGGGGCCTTGCAAATGAATCAAGAACATCAAGTGATGGAAAATAGGTCTAGAGGCTGAAATGGCGTTCCCGATAAAGGAAGCATACGGGTTACCGACCAATGTGAAATCTTTGGTGGGATCAGTCTTGAAGAGCTTCTGTGAAAGCAAATTTCCCGTGCACATGGTGGTGGTAGAAGTGACAAGCCAGCGGATTCTGATTGACACATCATTTTTAGTTCCGAAAGGCGTGCGTCTGGTGCATATGTCCCGTCACTCGCACAAAAAATGAGGGGAGCAGAGCCTGGTACGAATGTGGATGACTTGATTGAAATCTGGGGCGTTATGAAACGCAAAATACAAGCGATTTCGAAGGGCAGAGCACCATCGCAAAAGTCCTTAAAGATGATCCAGCGGCGGATGAAACGGATTCGCTTCACGCAAAATGATGAAATTTGAGCAACTACTTGAGGCATCTGGCGACCGGAAGAACATCAGCAGCATCAATTAAACACATTAAGAATATCCTTCTCACTGCACAGCTCAGACGTTTTGCTAGCCCGAGAAGAGCAACTTGTGCTTGATCTGGGATATAAAAGAAATCAGATTCATTGGATTGCCAGATCATCAACAGAATGTCACGATATTCGCTGTAAGTTCTATGCTAGCACTACGATGAATTGAAGAGAATAGCATGAAGTATCGAGAGTCATAATCAACCACGAGGGGATCCTTCATGCGATTGATTATAGCAGGAGGCTAGAGTTATTCGAGACCGCTTGCAAGCCATTCGCGATACCTCCTGCAGAAATGAAACGTATATGGAGTCGCAAGAAAATCTTCTCATAGTTCAGGTCAACGCTGACATCTTGGTTGTACACTAGCCAAGAATCACATGAGGAGGCTTTCGAAGGAATATCGACTGCTTTTGACCAAGATTGATCCGGCAACTTTCACACCAGCTTTGTTTTTCCACCGAGTTCGGTGACGACTGGTTGGAAAAGAGCAGGCAAGGTGTCAAGAGACAACACGAAAGCGAGGGCGTCGATCCTGAAAGAAGACTTATTGGCGAAGAACGCGAGCCTGAGCCTTCATACGTCGTTTTGTTGACCTAGGGAAAAGAAAGTGAAAACGTTACCGAACCATGCCTTGGGACTACAAGAACAAAAGGAGTGGATGCAAGCCTATGACCAAATAAAAGCCTGGGAAGCGATCGTGATGAGCTCCGAAGAAGAGCTCGAGTTGTCAAAAACAGATCACAGTGCAGAAGACATCCGCGCCTAGCACATCAAAGGCGGACTGAGCTACTCTGAACGACATCCAGCGTTCTTGAGATTAGAGACAAAATCAAGGAGCTTGAGCATGCCCTCAGATTAGAAAATCTGAGGGAACAAACCATTATTAAACACAATTATTGCTAAGACTTATAATATATCTACTTATGAGTCAAAGCTTATGAAACTGTGAGCAGAGGCAGGCGCGGGATTTTCTTGTTTCTATGTTCTGATGTATATCACCTAGTAACTTGTTTCTGTCATTGTTTAGTGTCTGTATTTAAAATCAGTTCCTTTTTTGATTTTCAGTTCTGATGATGATAATAAAATCGAAACGCGTCAAACTTCGATGTTTTGTAATATCAAAGCTTGCATGACAATTTACTGATTTGGCTGATTGAAAAAGAAATTCTAAAAAGACTTTTCAAGTCAGATCCATGTGCAAGTGGATGCCGAATTTAATTGCTGTTTAGCTTTAGCATGATAATTTTATACTGATGTGATTTTGTGGAGTAGATGAAACTTTCATCAGCAGCAAACTTCTGTAAATGACCACTCATAAGTGGAGGCTCACTGACACAACGAAAAAGCACAATGTGGACAACGACACTGAGTCCGGAGAGTATGCGCCAGACCGTCATAAGGAAGACTTTTGTTTTATTTCGAATAGAAATTTGCAAAAATTCGAACTAGGCCTTTCATGCTCAATAATAACTGCGGGAAAGTCGATAAAAATTAGACGAGAGTCAAATTGCTATTTGCAATTTGTCCGCAAATATCAAACTTGAGAAGAGTTGTCTTGTTCCTGATAGAGAGCACAAATACTGAAGACTGTGGAGCTACTTTATGAACTACTGAAGTTATGCCTAACAAAACTTCTTGAGTTATACTTAAATTACTTGATCGTTTCTGGAGTCAATTCCAGAGTTGTACTCTAGAATATGAGTACTTGAATTTAATTACTTGAGTGCATTTTATCTAGTTATGTTGAGTTTTATGGTGAGTTTTAGGTTGATCCATCTGAAATGGATCAAATTTACACTGTCCAATTAAAACCAATGGTGATTACTTGAGGTCCCAGCCCAGTCTTTAATGGCATTCGCGTGTTCGTTCTAGGTATTTGGAGACAGCCATGGAGGCGTACTTATTTCTATCTAGAGTGGGGGTATTTTGGTAGTGCCCTTTATTATATTGAGATACTAAAGTTCCATGTAATCAGCGAATCGTGAACTGGCTCCGACTGATCGAAGTACCTGACTTTTGAGCCAATGGTTATATGGCCAATTTTTCTTTAAACCTCATATGTGACTTGAGTGAATGACTGCTACATTCAAGGCAAATTGTGCCAAAAAATGTGAGAATACATTTTCCGTGGTCATTAAACAGCGTTTATGCCCTCATGGTTGACCTTACTGCTGAAAGGAAGCAAGTGGCAAAAAAGTCTTCAAAAATTTGTTTTCTAAGTAAAAAGTAGTTTCAAAAGTACATTGACTAAGTTCATTAACAAAAAATAAAACTAACCTGGCATCTCCTGCTCGGCGATTTCAATTTCCCGCCGGCCAAACTCGGCCCTGCTGATTTTGCGAACACAGAAGTCTGAGAAACCGGATGAGTTTACTTGGACTCGGTTTCGAACTGTACAGGAGTCATCCTGCTCGTCATCAAGGTCGGAGAAAGAAGAAGTGAGAGAATCTGCAGATGAAACTGAAAGTGTCCGAGTTGTCAGTCGGGTAGTTCGCTTACTACTGTTTGCAGAATTCGACGATGAATGCATTGAACTCTTGAGTGGGACTTCAGTGCTACCATTTGGATGAACTGGTGGTCGCGCACGAGGCGACGGTAATTCTTCTTTCACTTTCCGTCCTGTTTTCACGTCGATATTATTTTTCTGCTTGTCACTAACTTCAATGGTTAATGCATGCTCCTCTCCTAACATTTTGCACAATGTTCTGAAACTGTTTTCATTGCACTATCGTGATTCCAAAATGAATAACTGTCTTCTAGATTTCATTTCAGATATTTTTGCCTCAATTAACATATTCAATTTTGACATGTTTTGATTAACAAAGGTAGCAGACGGATGTCGACAAACAACAGTTTGTTGATTTTTCTTTTTGTTTTTTTTTTGTCTGTTTCTTCCAAATTTTTTTTGAGGCAATCAGAAGGTCAAAAATACCATAGTAACAGACGTTACAGTCAGGAGTCCCTTCATCACATATTCCAGTCAAAATCCTGGAATATGTGATGACAAGACCTCCAGAAGACTACGGCACCTGGAAAACTTATGGCCGAACGAGACCTTATAGCAAACCTTATCGCAGACTAGGACATTATGGCAATCGAAAAGCAAGTAGCTGCATTGTCCTTAAGTCTAATTTTTCTTTGAATTCAAAAAAAAAACATATATAACTTAGTACATCCATAAATCACAACAAAGTAAAGGATGAATGCATCGAAATGTGGCCTAATACAGGGTGATAACGATTAGTATGTGCCATTATTCAAATATCCCCACAACATTTGAGAAATGCCAAAACCACCATTTTGGACGACAAAGATTGACACGTACCGTAACATATGCCCGGAAGTATACACGGAAGGATCCACACTCAAGCCCCCTTTCCCTCTCAAGACTCAAGATCCATTCAAGCCATCCGCTCATTTCGCACTCTTCGCCTTGGAGGTGCCGTCTCCTGAAGTACTGGATACGGCAAACTGTCTCAACAGTTCTTCTTCATCATCGGAGCTAATCACGATCTCCTCCCAAGCCTTCAGCTGTTCATAGGATCGCATCCATTCCCTTTGCTCCTGCAACCTTTTTGCCTGATTGGGTAGTGCCTTCACCCTTGATTCCCGATTCAAACAAAAGGAGTTGTGCAGACTCAGGCTCACGTACTTCGCCAAGTCCTCCTCTGTATCGATTCCCTCGCTTTGGTATTGTCTCTAGACATTTTACCCACTCTTTTCCATCCTGTCGTGATCGCATTTCGATGGGTTAACAGGGGTCTCTTGAAAGCTTCCGGCCCAATCTCGGCCTGGAACTGTCGACACTCCTTTTGATGCTTTCTCATGTGATCTTTCGTTGTCATGTATAACCAAGACGTCAGTGTCGCTAGAAACCATGGAAAGTACCTCAAGCGGCTCCATACGTGTCTGACTTCCGTTGGTATGGCGAATACTTTGCATGCAGTCTCAAACAACTCGAGTCTCCTGCTGTAGTCGATCACATATATTGACTCAGCCGTTGGCGTCTTTGCTTCCCGATACTTTGTTATATTCTCCTCCTCGATTTTTCTTTTTGTTTTTTTTTGTCTGTTTCTTCCAAATTTTTTTTGAGGCAATCAGAAGGTCAAAAATACCATAGTAACAGACGTTACAGTCAGGAGTCCCTTCATCACATATTCCAGTCAAAATCCTGGAATATGTGATGACAAGACCTCCAGAAGACTACGGCACCTGGAAAACTTATGGCCGAACGAGACCTTATAGCAAACATTATCGCAGACTAGGACATTATGGCAATCGAAAAGCAAGTAGCTGCATTGTCCTTAAGTCTAATTTTTCTTTGAATTCAAAAAAAAACATATATAACTTAGTACATCCATAAATCACAACAAAGTAAAGGATGAATGCATCGAAATGTGGCCTAATACAGGGTGATAACGATTAGTATGTGCCATTATTCAAATATCCCCACAACATTTGAGAAATGCCAAAACCACCATTTTGGACGACAAAGATTGACACGTACCGTAACATATGCCCGGAAGTATACACGGAAGGATCCACACTCAAGCCCCCTTTCCCTCTCAAGACTCAAGATCCATTCAAGCCATCCGCTCATTTCGCACTCTTCGCCTTGGAGGTGCCGTCTCCTGAAGTACTGGATACGGCAAACTGTCTCAACAGTTCTTCTTCATCATCGGAGCTAATCACGATCTCCTCCCAAGCCTTCAGCTGTTCATAGGATCGCATCCATTCCCTTTGCTCCTGCAACCTTTTTGCCTGATTGGGTAGTGCCTTCACCCTTGATTCCCGATTCAAACAAAAGGAGTTGTGCAGACTCAGGCTCACGTACTTCGCCAAGTCCTCCTCTGTATCGATTCCCTCGCTTTGGTATTGTCTCTAGACATTTTACCCACTCTTTTCCATCCTGTCGTGATCGCATTTCGATGGGTTAACAGGGGTCTCTTGAAAGCTTCCGGCCCAATCTCGGCCTGGAACTGTCGATACTCCTTTTGATGCTTTCTCATGTGATCTTTCGTTGTCATGTATAACCAAGACGTCAGTGTCGCTCGAAACCATGGAAAGTACCTCAAGCGGCTCCATACGTGTCTGACTTCCGTTGGTATGGCGAATACTTTGCATGCAGTCTCAAACAACTCGAGTCTCCTGCTGTAGTCGATCACATATATTGACTCAGCCGTTGGCGTCTTTGCTTCCCGATACTTTGTTATATTCTCCTCTTCGATTTTTCTTTTTGTTTTTTTTTTGTCTGTTTCTTCCAAAATTTTTTTGAGGCAATCAGAAGGTCAAAAATACCATAGTAACAGACGTTACAGTCAGAAGTCCCTTCATCACATATTCCAGTCAAAATCCTGGAATATGTGATGACAAGACCTCCAGAAGACTACGGCACCTGGAAAACTTATGGCCGAACGAGACCTTATAGCAAACATTATCGCAGACTAGGACATTATGGCAATCGAAAAGCAAGTAGCTGCATTGTCCTTAAGTCTAATTTTTCTTTGAATTCAAAAAAAAAACATATATAACTTAGTACATCCATAAATCACAACAAAGTAAAGGATGAATGCATCGAAATGTGGCCTAATACAGGTTGATAACGATTAGTATGTGCCATTATTCAAATATCCCCACAACATTTGAGAAATGCCAAAACCACCATTTTGGACGACAAAGATTGACACGTACCGTAACATATGCCCGGAAGTATACACCGACGGAAATTAAAGCTAGAATCTAAATTCATTTCATGACAGAGATTTGACAACTATAATCAAATATAACCAATCTATTTTTTTAATTTATGTAACATTCGTCTACTGTAGTCACACATGAGGCTTAAGAAAAATAGGCCCTATAACCATTGGCTCAAGAGTCAGGGACACTATCTCTTGTGTTTTTCTACCTCAAATCAGTCAGAGCCAATTCGGTTCGCTTGTGACATGAGACTACGACCCGTTACAGCTTAAAGGCTACTACCAAAATATCCCCCACCACTCTAGAAATAAAAACGTCCCCATACTTAGGTCTCTAGATACCCAAAATACATAAACGCCGTTAAAAACCGGGTCGGAACAATCCGTTAAGTTACTTTTTATTAGACAGTGGAACTTTGATCCATTTCAGATGGATCAACCTAAAACTCGCCTCACCTCAACATAACGATCATAAAACACACTCTAAAAATTTAAATTAAGGACTCACATGTTGATGCTCTCAAGCACAGGAGGTAATTAAATGGGTGAGCAACTCTAGAATTAACTAAGATAACTAGATAAGTCCAATGTTTGTCAGTTTGAATGACAGAGGTAAGTTTGAACTCTAGAATGAAGTTTTATGTGAACCATTGGGAAACTCCAGCTGTCCACCTTTCCGTCGAAGGTTCACTCTAGTCCAATTCGAATAATTGTTCTCTCGGGAATACTCTGTCTTCTATTTCAGATAGGACAGCTCTACTCTTGTTCACTATGATGGAAATTGCGAATAGCATTTTCCCACTGTTTTATCTAGCAACTTTCCCGCGATTGTTGTTCGATCGTTCTCCATTCTCTTTTTCGGTTTTCAGTTATCGCGAGAAAATCGTGCATGACAGGCTCCATTCGAATTTTTCAAAAATTAAATTTCACCCCAAAATTGAGTGCTCTTGCTTTTCTCAAGGTCAAACTTCCAAATATGACCGACTGGCACATACTCCCCGGACTCAAGATCGATGTCCTCATCGCGTGCTGTCGTCTACCAGTGAGTCCCAGAAAACCGAGTGTTGCTCAAGGTACAGTGCCAGTGGTCATTTACAGAAGTTTGCAGCAGACTTAAGCTTATCTACACCCCAAAATTCACAGCCATGTAAAATTTTCACACTAACGCTAAACAGCAATCAAAATCTGCACACACCTGCACCTATGAATTCTCGCTTTTCAAGCCAATTATATAAAATTTCTTTTGTCCCATTCAATTAGGAAATTGTCATGCAGCATTTTGATTTATATAATAGATATAGCATATTAATAACAATATCTGTTTTGTTGAAATTTCTTTCTCGTGAACCCAGGTTTCACCCGGATCCACACTCAAGCCCCCTTTCCCTCTCAAGACTCAAGATCCATTCAAGCCATCCGCTCATTTCGCACTCTTCGCCTTGGAGGTGCCGTCTCCTAAAGTACTGGATACGGCAAACTGTCTCAACAGTTCTTCTTCATCATCGGAGCTAATCACGATCTCCTCCCAAGCCTTCAGCTGTTCATAGGATCGCATCCATTCCCTTTGCTCCTGCAACCTTTTTGCCTGATTGGGTAGTGCCTTCACCCTTGATTCCCGATTCAAACAAAAGGAGTTGTGCAGGCTCAGGCTCACGTTCTTCGCCAAGTCCTCCTCTAGTATCGATTCCCTCGCTTTGGTATTGTCTCTAGACATTTTACCCACTCTTTTCCATCCTGTCGTGATCGCATTTCGATGGGTTAACAGGGGTCTCTTGAAAGCTTCCGGCCCAATCTCGGCCTGGAACTGTCGATACTCCTTTTGATGCTTTCTCATGTGATCTTTCGTTGTCATGTATAACCAAGACGTCAGTGTCGCTCGAAACCATGGAAAGTACCTCAAGCGGCTCCATACGTGTCTGACTTCCGTTGGTATGGCGAATACTTTGCATGCAGTCTCAAACAACTCGAGTCTCCTGCTGTAGTCGATCACATATATTGACTCAGCCGTTGGC